GGCTCAGGCAATCCACTCACCTCAGCCTCCCAAAGGCGCGGGATTACAGGCTGAGCCACTGAGCCCGATTTAGAATAGACTTAAATTAATTGTTTCCTCAAACAATAGGGGAAATACCACCCATAACAAAAGGTTAAGATCTATCAAAGCTCAGCCAATCACGGTGGCTCAAGCCTGTAATCCCAGCATTTTGGAAGGCCGAGGCGAGAGGATTGCCTGAGCCCAGGGGCTTGAGACCAGTCTGGGCAACCTGGTGAGACCTTGTCTCTACAATAAATCAAAAAATTACCTGGGTGTGGTTGCGTGTGCCTATAGATAGTTCCAGCTACTTGGAAGGCTGAGATGGAAGGATCGCTGGAGCCCAGCAGATTGAGGCTGCAGTGGCCGTGAGCGTGCCACTACACTACAGCCTGGGCAACAGAGTGAGACCCAACTCAAAAAAAAAAAAAAAGATCTATCAAAGCTGAAATTGAAGCAACAGCAAATGTATGAGATGTGCAAAGTTGGTTTTGACTTTCATGAAAAGAATCTTCTTTTTTGGAAAGGAGAGAGAGAGAGAGAGAGAGAGCTGTTGTTCCTTTAAGACAAGCAAGCATAAATTACCTCAAGTTTGTGCTTAAATGACCTGTACTAATATGAATAAAGCCTATCAGCTCCACTGGTCTGAGAAGTTGAGGCCATACCCACAAGAAGGTGTTGGAGATATTTCAACAGCTCCTACATGCTTAAAACTAACAATCAGCTTTGGCAGTCCTTTGAAAGCTTAAATGGTGCACAGACACAACTATTGAGCACAACTTAAAATGAATCAAAGAGGATGCCTGGCCCAGTGTCCGATTAGCAAATAGAAACACCAGGGTTATATGGAGAAGAGGGGGTTTGCGTGTCAGTTTCTCTATTTCCATAATTCAAGATCCAGCCAATGAGCTCCTGGAGAGCAGAAGTCAGATCATGTTTATCTTCACATCTCTAGCAGTTGTCATGGGGCTAGAACATATTAAGTGCTAAATTAATGATTGTTTAGCCGAACAAGTCAATTCAAAGGCAGAATAAGAAATACAGAAAAATTTTAACATTCTCCAGGCACAATGGTGTACACCTGTAGTCCTAGCTACTCAAAAAGCTGAGGCAGGAGGATCACTTGAGCCTAAGAAGTTTGAGGCTGTGGTGAGCTATGATCATGCCTGTGAATAATCACTCCAGCCTGGGCAGCACATCAAGACAAATAGTCAGTTTATTTGCTCTACTATTGACAAAATGGATCTTCTACATAGTGTGATATCTACTAACACTTATAATAATGACAATAATAACATATTTATTGAGCACTTCCTAAATGCCAGGTATTGCCAAGTACTTTATATTATTGTATTTAATCTTCACAACTCTGTTATTGTCATCCTGTTATTATTATCATAATACATTATTATCATCTTGTTATAAGTGAGTACATTGAAGCTGTGAGAAATAATTTGCCAAAAGTCATACAGGTATCTTAATACTAGCTAATAGTTTCTAAGCACTTACTATAACTCTGACACCATTCTAAGCACTAAGTGTAGTGAGTTATTTAATCCTCAAAACAATGAGTTAAGTATGATCATTATCCCCATTTAGCAGACGAGTAAATTGAGGTGCAGAGAAGCTAAGCAAACTTGTCCAAGTTCACACAATTGGTAAGTGATCCGGCTGGGCTACAAACCCAGACAGTTTGGCTCCAGACTCTTAACCACTAAGCTGTACACTGCGCAGGGGTCACTGCAGAAATCTGAACCCAGGAAGCCTGACTCTAAGAGCCAAGCTGTTCATCATTCTGTTTTCCTGCCTGGTAATTAGGTCAACTGACATTTAGATGAGGGGGACATACATGCTATTCTCCTGCACATGGAGAGGAAGGGAAGAAGATAAAAGCAGTGAACAAGCAGCTGATAGTCATCCCCTTGGCCATCTGACTTCCCCTAACTCAGTGTCTCTCTAATTCCAAAGCACTTTGCCAATACTTCTCAAATAGCACCCATTAGAATGTGGTCTGTTGTGTTTGCACAGGGCTGTCTGCAAGATTCCCAAAAGCAGAAACCATGCCCATCCCAGGCCCCAGCATAGGGCAGGCCCTAATATTGACTTGATGAGTGGCTGATCAAATCACTGCACGCCCATCCCAAAAATACATGTGATTATCTGTTTATGCCAATCTTGCCCACTGATTGGTGACCACAAGGGCAGGAGCCATCTATGTTGGCCCTGCTGTGATCCCACTTCCTAGCCCAGTGTTCAGCAGGCAGGAAGCCATGTATATGTTTTTGTCGAATGGGCCAGGTGCACAGGTCCATGCTTTTAATCCCAGCACTTTAGGAGGCTGAGGTAGACTGCTTGAGCCCAAGATTTCGAGACCAACCTGGGCAACATAGAAGGAACTCATCTAAACGAAAAAATAAAAAAATTAACCAAGCGTGGTGGTGCACTCCTGTAGTCCCAGCTACTCAAAAGGGCGAGGTGGAAGGATCACCTGAGCCTAGGAAGTAGAAGCTGTGGTAAGCTGTGATCATATCACTACACTCCAGCCTGGGCAATAGAGTAAAACCCTGTCTCAAAAATTTTTTTCTTTTTAAGGAAAAGAAGTATTTGTCAAATGAATGAAGAGCAGATGCTCTAAGATACCACAGGATATAAGTTCAGGAAAAAAGTTCCATGCTTGCCTCAATCACGCATATTTGGGGTTCTTCCTTATTACCGTCCACAGGCACCTTGGCTTGATTCATAACCCACTCCTGAACAGCATCAGTAATGTGAGGGACAACTGCAGAAAGAAGCAAGAACACAGATCTTATTTCATGCTCATAAGAAAGGAATGGACTTTCGACTTCCCAAGTAACCTGAAAGTCACCTGGCAAATTATACCAGCTACAGTCCTCACGCTATTACTTTCCCTCACTGAAATCAAGAGGTACTTTAGGTTGTTATTTACGTGTTGGGCCATTTGTCTTGAAACTGATGAATCACAGATAAAAAGAAACAGAAAAAGTAAGTGCCTTCTTCGATGAAACTAGAAAACAACTGTAATGCCAACTAAAAACTATGCAAGGCGAGATGCCGAGCACGCTGAATGCTAGGCTCCATGGGAGAGGATGCAGGACACCTCGCCAGGCCGAGCCCGCTGAGCCCACAGCATCTGGAGTTAACACTAGCTTGTGGGGAGGGGTCCACTCCAGGGCACAGATGAGGCCTCCATGCTGACCAGGGGCCCTGGCAGGGGGCGGTGCAGACCGTGGCTGCTAATGTCGACTGAAGAGGCCAAAAAGGGCTCATCTCCACAGACACATGGGACCCAGGGATCTCTTGGATGGTGAACAGGCCTGCAGCTGCTGATCTCTGCCGAAGAGACAAAAAGGTGACATGCTCGCAGGCTCGAAGGGACTCGACACAGCCTCCTACCTTGATGCATGAAGTAGAAACGATGGCCTTCACCTCGCACCTGCTACTCCCTTGAGGCCGGAGAAGTCGTCTCCAATTGGTGAATTTGAAACTACTCACTGCGCATGCCCACCTGATCCCTGTCCCAGAGGCTGGGGTCTGCAGGGCTCTGCCTCCACACAGGCAGCTCAAGGGTCAGGGTCCGGGATCTGGGATCCAGACCCAGGTCTGGGGCCTTGCCCTCTCCCCATTGTTGGATGTGGCAGGTGTGAGGCAGCAACTCTCCCCCCAGCGGGTCTCCCCAAGACCTACACTTGGGAAGAACTATTGGAAAGCATAATTTTGGCTGAGCTCTAAGCACACTGTCCAGTTTCAGCAGCAGCCTAGCCGTTCTTCTGATCTCCATCTGGCAGACTCCTCTGTCTATTCCTCAGCTGGTTCCAACTTAAAAGTGATTTAAACCAGGCTCGGTGGCTCAGCCCGTAATCCCGCACTTTGGGAGGCTGAGGTGAGTGGATTGCCTGAGCCCGCGGGTTCGAGACCCGCCTGGGCAACTTGGCGAAACCTCGTCTCTACAATAAATCAAAAAATCAGCCGGGCTCGGTGGTTCAACCTGTAATCCCGCACTTTGGGAGGCTGAGGTGAGTGTATTGCCTGAGCCCGCGGGTTCAAGACCCGCCTGGGCAATTTGGCGAGATCTCATCTCTACAATAAAAAAAAAATCAGCCGGGCTCGGTGGCTCAGCCTGTAATCCCATGCCTTTGGGAGGCTG